TCCTAAACGCTCAGCAGCGCCACCACTTTACAAACATTACTGACAAACGGTCCTTAAACTTTGGGTCAATTTAAGAACCTAAGGAACCGCACCCGAATTAGCTAATTGGAGCAGCTATTGAACGATAGCACATCCCCCAAAAAGACCACAAACTTATACGGCTTATCGTTTTTCTCCAAGGCCTAACTAAACTCGGGCATTCATACCGGTTGTCCCAGAAGCTGTCGGGCTAAAGAACAACAATTCAAGCAGCACAAATCACTTCTGGACAGGAAAGACCGTCGGTATTAAGCCTGATGAGAGGCTGGTTTTGCTCGATGTTAAGTGTCCCTTTATGTCCGTATCTTCGATTTTTTTTTCAAAACCATCATCGAACTTCGATGTCTGAATTTGACGGCAAAGAGGTCCAGTTCAGAGCTCAAAATATCGCGCACGCAGGATTTTCTCAAGCCACTCTTATCCTAAGAAAGTAGGATCATTTATGAGCAATTAAAGTGTACACAAAGGGATCCCGTGATGTCTGGGTGCATCGCCTAGGTTGTGCTCTAAAAAGTCTACTCAAAGTTGCGCGTAGAGTACGGACCCAAATTTGTTCCGTAGAATATAGGTCATAGTGTAGCAGACGTGATACTTCGTATAATGCCAATGAAAATGCTAGAACAGGTTTCCTGGTCCAACAGTGGAAATCGTTATCGTACAGCATAATCTGAGAGTAATTTATTTTATTGATACCAGAAAGCGATCTTCTGGCTGCACGCATGAAATCCACAATCTTAAAATGTGACTGCCTTATTGGTTTTATTTTGGTTTGTTGGTTTTAGCAAATGTGTTACCTTTTCCCTTATAGGAAACTATACATTTCAGTACAGTACTAAAACGACATAAATGTCTCAAACTGTACCAGGGCTATACCCTATAAACGGTTTCAATAACATAATTTATACGACGATTTATGAATGAGCATTTCACGCTCTTAAATCACTATAAAGGAAAAAATCGTAAACTGAACACGGCCTTTTATTTGGGTGTAATATGTTAAGGAGGTGCTATGTGCTACCTCATGAGTGCAAGAAAGAATATGTTTGATTCTTTTTCTCTCAAATATAGGTACTGATATCTACTTTAGTAAACATAGAAGTATATTGTATCAGTTCTATACTGACAACTTAACGGAGGCATCAATGCAGCCTTAATTGCCCCCCTAAAGGGATCTCCGGACTGATTCAGTTATGTGACAGCCTTCAATTCCTGGTTGCCGGGCTGCGTGATAGACAAAAGGTCCGTGAGTTAGTGATTATTATGGTCAACAGCTTACAACCTTGGTATATCGTCAATACGTATGCTGCTGAAAAGAGTGTACAAGTAGTATACAAGTTGACTTTATGATACCTGAATTTTTGAGCACTCTGGATTTGAGTGAGCGAGTGTTTTGGACCAAGCACGTATTTCAGCATGACATTTGGCAATAACAACTGGTTTCCACGCCGTGTGCTCTGTGTGCTATCATTTAGCAGTAATTTGCGCTTGTTGACACATCGTGCGCTGAGGTGTACTTAGTTTTAGGCAAAAGGTAGCGCTTCGGCTCCGCCTTTGTGCCTGAATATGTGAATTTCAGACTATACTGTTATTTAAAGTCACCTTCAACTGCCATGACGGAGAGCTGGCACATGATGAAGGGGAGATCCCTCATGATCTGGCCATGATGTCTGCCGTTCGACCTTTCATATATACGTATACGAATCCGTAATTTATCCTTGTCTGTGACAGAGGACGTAATTACTTCTTATATCTTATGTACTCCACTATGTGCCTTGTACGTTGTCAGTCCGTAGTAAGTTTCGGTTGTTTGAGTATCCCTTGCTAAGTGTGTTTATTTTTAGACGGTATAAGCGTTCGGATTCTTTTTGGCGCCTTAAATACCCACTAAAAAGAGGAAGCGCAAAGTGACGTTTATGTATATTTTACGTTGCATCACACATAAAAATATTTAAAGGATTTGCGTGTCGGCCACAAAACCACTCGCATTTCTCCTTAGAGTCAAAGCGATTCTCATTGCCGCCCACGACGCCGTAGATGAATTCCTTACAGGCACCATTCACATAAGCGTACTTCCTGAAGGAGGCTCTACCAATCAACTGGTCGATCGGCAAATAGCACCGATTCACGGATGCTAAATTTTTATCAAAAGGAAATCAAATGCATTAAATAGTCTAAGTCTTAGCTCGCCCCTACGGACGTAATTTATGGAAAAATGAAGCTTCGACTGGAGCAGCGATGCAAGTAGAATGGTTCAACTGCAGATGATTACACTTTTTGTGCTTGGTGCCTAAATGAACAGTTTTTTGTGCATGTTCAAAATTTCATTGTTTGACAAGTGAAGATCCTGAAGAAGGGTTGCCGACAAGCCTGTTTTGCCTAATAGACTTTTCACGTCAATAATGGTATACAATTTATGCTTTCTGTCGTTGTAGTAAAAAAAATGTTTCTTTACCACATTGAAATAATTACTTAAACACAGTGTGCATTTTTTTCTTATTGGGATGTTTACTTTTATGCGTCAAGACTTTTAGGAACGTAGTTCGGCCTTCATTTACCTAGCTGGGATTTTCATTTAAAAACACTTTGGTTTAGGATTTCTATTTTACACACATATTTTGAATCTATTTGGTGAAATAATAGTGTTCCACCCTATTTCCTTAAAGCACAGAAAGCAGTAGCGGGTCACTCGATTTTACATGGACAATGTCGGAGAATGCATAAAGGAGCATGCAAGACACATCACTCCAAAAATAGATGATGATTAGCATCGAGCTATCATGCGACGTTGCCATCAAATTTTCCTTTCATAACCACATGTCCATGGGTTTCAAAGAGACTTCCAACGCCTACGCAGCACACTTAGACAAATTCTTCAAAGCGGTCCACCGCAGACAAGGCGGTGAACCTCGGGAAGATGCATCAGTACTTGCATGTCACCAGGGGGAGAGGGCGGGGCATCTATGAAATCAAGGAAAACAGGGCAGCAGTGCAGAGCACACAATAGGCGAAAACGCATTCCATCGACATGGGCTATATACAAAGCAAAAGAAAACTTTACGTGAGGCAACTGAAGACACGCTTGCACAGTGATAACTCTCACGTAGCTAAATGCATAAGGGCATGAAGAATACGAGAAAACCCGTGAATTGCCCAGTTCTGAGCACATTAATTATAACTGCGTATTTCGCAACTGACCTCTTGAGGCGAAAACTATCCTAAGATTGCTCAGTTGCCTAAAGAATTGTGCGCTGGTCGCCATTAGTGTGAATCGCTTATGGCATTCGTCCAAACTTGACAGAAAATCGGCATATCCACAGAACATGCGCTACATTAGGCATCACACTCACACAGTCGTTTATTCCGGAAAATAACACAACGAACATTATTTTCCATGGCTTTCTTAACCTTAAATTATTTCATGTTGCTAAAATGTATATTTTGTACTCACATCGTATTCAGCATGCCTTTTGATAGATTGTTGTGCATTTCATTTTCCCTAACGTACAATTTTTTTGTATTTGACACGTACAGATATTGTCTGAACGGACTACCGGAATGTCGCGGGCTAGATACTCCTTTTGTAGATACGCGTGTTGTGTTCAGTCGTAGTACCACTGACGCCCGGAATGCGGATTCCATTTGTTACTGCTTAACCAGGTTGTGAGGTTGCTGAGCCTGGAGTAGAGTTTCGTTTTTGCCCACAAACCTTTTCCAGCTCTATTTCTGAGATGTATGCATGATTTTTTAATTTTTTTCCTTTTTCTTCTGCATATTGTTGCTCGGCTTACTGCGCTCTTTTATGGTCTTTAACTTACTTTTCTTTTTGTTAACCCCTTTTGCACCCTATAAAGGACAACTTAAACTCATGTAGTTGCCTTAGCGCCGTCCGGAGAGGAGAGTAAACAAACAGTGCATTCCGCTAAAATATCATGAAAAAGGTTCGTTCACACAAATAACCGTCGTTCAGGTACAAGCACAAAAAAACATTTGCTCGAGCATTTTTCTTTCGTAACGGGAATAAAGGGCCTCCCTTAAGCGATAATCAGCCAAGCCCACGTACAGGTAGGCAAATCGAGCAACTAAACACGTTGAGCATTGGTCTCGCAAGCGGTCGATTTTATGTTGGCCTCCAGTGCACATTAGTATCACTTTGACTTGGACGTGTCTTATGAGCTCATTTTCCCACTACGCGTTAGTTTTTTTTGCAATCTGCGGGACGTGGGTTTAAAGAACGATAAGATGGAGGGGTTGTTCTGCGCTTACCCAGCCCAGTAGCACACGCATGGCATTAGGTGGGTTCTGGCCAAACCTACCCTATTAAAGTGCTATTCACATATTTTAAGTAGTGTTGTTTTTTCCAGTAAATTTGTAGGTGGAGTTGGTGCCGCTCACTAGATAAGCTTAAATGCATGGACCTTAACATTGATGACGGTGTCATAAAAGCTCCGCCAAAAGGCAATGATCGCTGTTGGCACTAAAATCATCCTATCAAACAATCCTTTTTATATTTATAAATGCAGTTCTTTTTTCTTCTACGTTTTGTTTATTTAAAGTCGGGGATTCGCTGAACTCTGCGTTCTCTTTAAAAGTGGCAGTTTTTTCCACTGCTTCCTTGTTAGTTCACAATATATTTCAGGGAGTGTTAAGTATAATTTTAAAATGACTAGACGTTGGCCGATAAGAATTAATCCGCCTACCGTACCAAAATCATCGCTGCCGATGTGATTGCTCACGAAGAGTAGCATTTATTCAGTATTTTTTACAGTATTCATATTTCTACAGCACTTACTTTGCAATGACGAAGCCCTGCAGGCATCAAATATAAAATATATTTAGTTATTTATTCGGACTTGGCTGGGAAGAGAAGGAGAACTGGACAGACCAGGAGTGAATTATATAGGCAGCAAATGAGCTCAAAATTACTTTTCTGTTACTGATTTTGATTACTGAATACCTGTCTACACATATCTAACAGTCGGGTTCTTAGCTGCAGGTAAATGTGAGGATACCCCCTCAATTCAAGATCGGTTATTTTGTAGTTCCGATTCACGTTTTATGAGGGAGAACGTCGATTTGAGGCATAGACAACGCAAGTTGCCAGACTATGATTCAAATGGTTTTTGGGAGCAATTATTTAAAAAGTAGGAAGAATGAAGCTAAATTCGTTTTTTCAATTACAAGAACTTCGACCACACCCTTTCATGCTATGGCAAATAGCCTTACGAGGATGACAAAGAATGGACATATATATTGACAGATAGGGTCTTCCAAATCGGCTACCGAACTCGCTGGATTGCTTTCGCCTTCGGAATCACCTTCGATCACCGCTACCAGTTGCATAGGGGCTAATTGTTTAGGCAGAATGATATAATCAAAAACGATAATACAGAAAAGAATATAAATTTTGGACTCAGTACCTGTCACCAGCCGACCGAATACAAGCCCAAATGCTGCCTACTTGAGCCGGCCGATCTTACTGACCAAGACCACGAGCGCAGGGCTGAACGTCTACAGCATTTGAGGGGTCACGGTTTGTAAATTTTGGTAACATAACAGGTTGCCTTGTGCATAGCTCACTGACGACAGTGCTTTCCCCAATTTTCGGTGCGCCTATAAATGAACGTAAACATTACACATATGGTAAATAGTATAAAGTTTATATGGGCCCAGTAATTTTCCTGAAATTAAAAACATTAAATTAGCAATGATTTTAAAATTAATCTATTTGCTTGAGTTTGGAGCCTCTTGCATTTCATTTTTACTCAATACATCGACATGCGTTTGACACGTCGGCGGGCATGCCATTGATACTTCCTCTGAGGTAATTCCTCCGACGTTCTGCAGCACTGCTTAACTGGAAAAGTTGATACTGTAGCTGCTTCTTTATAGTTACCATTAAACAGTGCCCTTCGTCAGACGGGATCATTTCCTCAAGCATTTTCCTTCCAGGTGACGAAGCAGAAGATGAACGACCAGTATTTATTGTACATGCTCGCGGCCAAGAAGGTCATTAGTGAGCTTTCCATGTGTTTGGCAGTTTAAAGTGTGCACTGGAGAAAGTATCCAGTGAGTTGCAGTAAGTAAATTATTAATACGCACTTTGTATTTGGTCATGGCGGCGTACAGGCATTTGCATAATTTTCGATGACAAAAGGCTAATTAATTAACGCTCGCAGCATGAAGAAAACCCCGCCGTTAAGGGAGAAGTCAGCCTCGCTTACAAACATGCAAGCAGAGGTAGCA